GTTGGGATTCGTGCTGCGAGGTTGGCTCCGCTCTTTTCTTAAGAAGTTTCCAAGCAAATCCCGAGGGGCCTGCCTGGACTGTGTTCCTTCCCTCCTTCCTGCGGTCGCGAGGAGCAGCGGGGTCCGCATGTGCGGTGCCATTTCAGAGCAGGGCCCCTTGCAAACGCCTGTGTCTGCTTTGAGAAGGGGGCTCTGGGACCTATGTAATTCCTTCCGTGCGCTCACGCTTTTTGTTTGACCTTCTCTCCCTGCAAATGAGGGAGAATTCAAGAGCCCTAGCTGGTCGTAGTCATCGGCCGCGGTAGAAAAATGACTCGGAGAAGGATACTAGTCACACGCGTGAGTCACTGGACCAGCGCGTAGAGATCCAAGATGGAAAAGGTGATGCTAATTTGCAGTGAGGATGAGGTGGGTGAACAGCAGAGCGGGTGCCCTGCATGGTGAGCTAGAACACCTCTGTGTTTACAGCCTGGAGAGTGTTTCATCCGAGCACCCGCAGCGGCCGAGCGTGAGACGAGCTTTGGGGGAATACGAGCCCCCTGCCTTAGCCTGGCGCTTTCGGGGGCGGTCGGGCCCCTCCCGCAGCGCTGCTCCGAGGCGCAAGCGTGTATGAACAGGCAGATCGAGGCAGGTATCCTGAGCCTGTATTCCTCTGGGAATGTCACTCTCCAAAAAACCCTGGCCTTGGAGGGCTGATGCTGGAACGAGGAGCCTGACTAAGGGCTTCCTTCAAGGACAGGCTGCTGCCTCCGTCACCAGCGTGGCCTGAGCTGCTGCTCTCTTCCCGTGGCGCGGGCTGGAAGGTGAGCAGCCGGAGGAGTGAGCTGCAGGGGAAGCATCTCCGCAGCTTCCTTTGCTTCCAGCCCTGACCACGCAGCGGCCCCGCACCCAGAGGAGGCGGTGAGTGTGTCCGTGTTGCCTGTCCTCGCCTGTCCCTCCTCCTTCGCCCACTGCCAGCGTCCCAGCAGCGCTGCTGGCTTGCTGTCCCCTGCGGAGCGGGGAGCTCACGTGCCGAGCAGGTTGGGAACCCCTTCTTGCTAGTGCAGAAAGGTTAAAGAGGTGGAATGTCTGTAGGAGGGAAACCAACTGACAAAAAGCCGTTACGGGGAGGCTGGGCATGGCAGATATTTGAGTTTTGTAGCTGAAGATGCCTTGGCAGGTCGTTGGTGTTCTGGCAGGCGGCTGTCCTGGGCAGGCAGCCTTGTCCTGGCTGCCTGGGAGCGCCGTCCCTTAGGGTGGCAGGCAGCCTGGCGCTGGAGCCATCCCCAGCTCGGGCCCTTTGGTCTGCCGGTGTCCTCTGAGCTGGCAGAGCACCCACCTGCCTTGGTTAGCAGGCAAAGAATTATTCCTCCAGGAGACCGGTTGAAGCTGGGGTTGTTGTGTTGGCAAACCTCTGCAAAACAGCTGCCCTCTCCCCCGAGAAATGGGTCATTCCAGGTCTTTGAGTTCTGCAAGCAAGGTAGGAACGTGTGTGACCATGGGGAAAAGCTGCTTATTGACTATTATCCCCAGTCCCTAAATGGGGGGGGAGAGGGGAGAGCTTCCTGGGACATGAGCCTGGGGAAACTTCCCCACGGTCCCTTACAAACATGAGCATGGAAGCTCCAGAGCGCTTCCCCTGCCTTGCTCTGAGCATTGTGTCTGCTTTCATGTTCCAGGCTGCTTTGGGGATAATGAGATTTAATCAGGCTTCATGATCCCTGGGGCGAGTGGTGGACATCATCTACCTGGACTTCTGCAAGGCTTTCGACACGCTTCCCCACAGCTGCCTCCTGGAGAAATTGGTGCATTATGGCCTGGCCGAGTGGTCTGTGTGGTGGGTGGGGAATGGGCTGTCAGGTGGCACCCAAAGGCTGGTGGTAAACAGCTCTTTGTCCACCTGGCCACCCACCACGAGAGGGGTCCCCCAGGGATCGATATTGGGCCCAACATTATCCAAATATCTTCATAAGTGATCTGGATGATGGGCTCAAGTGTAGCCTGATGAAGTCTGCAGATGGTTTGTTCAGCCTTGAGCAAAGGAGGCTCCGAGGGGATCTCATCTTCACGTCCCAGTACCTAAGGGGTGGCTACAAGGAAGATGGAGACTCCCTTGTCACAAGGAGTCCCATGGAGAGGACAAGGGGGCATGGACACAAGTTGCTCTGGGGGAGATTCTCACTGGACAGGAGAGGGAAATTTTTCCCCATGAGAACAGTCACACATGGAATAATCTCCCCAGGGGAGGGGTTGACTCTGCCACATTGGACACTTTTAAGTGGCCATCTTGTCTGGACTGGGCTCTTGCCTAGGAAGGTTGGACCAGATGATCCTGGAGGTCCCTTCCAACCTGGGATTCTATGATTCATCTCTTCTCCTCTTACCAGTGGTTCAAATATTATTGTCTCATAAAGCGTTTGGAATTCTGTCCCCTGAAATTGTGTTAAGCTGGGATGGAAGTTCCTTGCGGCTTAAGCCTTGTCTCCATATGGCATCGAGTTTGGGGGTTTGTTGCTGCTTGCTCTGCAGCTCCTATGGGCTTGCTGGCATGGGGACATAAGCAAGGGGCTAACCCCCAGCGAGATGGACTGACCCATCACGGGGAGGGCAGGGAAGAGTCGGTGGGGGTACAGAAATGCTTGCCAAGGGTGGGATTCACCCAGTTAGGAACACATGCTGTAAGTTCTTAGCTTGTGTGCTCAGAGCCCGGTGAGACCTGGTGCCCTTCCTTGAGCTGGCATCTGTCTTGTGAGGTGTTGCTTTGCCTTTTCCCACCACTTTCTTCCCAGCTTTTGAAATGGACGGATTGCTTCCAGGGGAATTGGGATTTCCAGCTGAGGAGAGGAGCACAGAGGGTGGAACAAGCCATGGATGCAGACGTGGTGGCTGGTTCAAGGCCATGGGGTGGGTGGGGACCCGGAGCTGCTCTCTGCTGATGGGTTTCCTTTTACCAACCAAACTCTCCTTATCTTGGGGAGTGCAGAGGTCATGTCCATGGCAGTGCTGGAAGAGGTGGAGGCTTTGATTGCTTTCCATAATGCTGCTCGTAAACTTGGGATTGGACTCGTGTGGAGTGGTGGCCGGCGGCGATGCTGGGGAGCTGCGGGGGTGTTGTCCCAACTGTGGGGACCCAGGGTGGGTGGGTGCCAGGAGCTGCCCTGCTCAGTACCGAGCGTATAAGCTGTGGAGTTTTGTAGCCTATGAAATTTTTCTTGGGATTCTTATCAAAGCATTACCTGGGGAAGAGGACTTTAGACGGGGTAATCTTTGGCTAGGAAGGGGCTGTGAGCTGGAGAGCAGATAACTGGAGAGCTCATGGTGCTCTTGAGAGCCAAATGATGTCAAATTTTAACTTCCTAACTGGAAACTGTTTCATGACTTGTCTAGGTCTTTGGTTTTTTTTTATTTCTTCCCTCCGCAACCAATCCCAAAAGTGTTGGGGTGAGGAGTAAGAGCTCTCTTCCCCCATTTCCCAAGTGCAGCAGCTGCCTCTGCAGAAATCTCAGCTCCTTAATGAGCAGAGCTCTTCTGATGAACCCTCTGAGACCTGTCCTGCATGGGGTATCCACGGACCTCCTGGTGTTCACCTGTCAATCCTCCCCCTTTGGAAATGCAGACTCCAGCTCACTGAGCTGGGCACAGGCAAGGAGCAAGATGCTGATCCTTCACCAGGTCGGTGGGCACCTGCTTCAGCCTGCTCTGCCCTAACTGAGTAAGGAAAAACAGCATGGGTCCAACCTCCAAATGGTGAAATCTGTCGCCTGTTCTGCTACAATCACTTTGCTCCCTTGCTGGCCCCAGTCTTCATCCCCACCTCCTGCGGTGGGGCTGGGAGCTCAGCTGGGAGCCCTGTGTCCCGTGGTGCCCACCAACCAGCCTAGGTCACCTGCGTGGCTGCACTGGGAAGCTGGTGCCTCTGTGCTTCCCTGTAGTGCCAAATGACCCTCTGAAACTGTGATGGGATGTGCAGGATTCAGAGATACTTGTGGATGCCTGGTGGTGCGTGGTGTTTTGGAGTATCTGCAGGACATGGGAGAGGGTTGAAGACCTTACTCATCAATATCTGCTGTCTTTCTGGGAGGAGAAAGTCTCTTCCAATTGACTGGAGATGGGTGAGACAGTGATAGCTGCCCTCTCAATAGGCTTTGTCCTCAACTGAAGCCTGCCAGCTCTTGTGCAAGACCTCTGGGCTTGGTCACTGGTTGTGTCTGGGTTGCTCAGAGCTGTCAGCACAGAAATGTGTCCCTTGAAGCTCCCCGTTACTATCCCGCCTGTCAGTCACCCGTTTTGGGGACCCCACCAAGGGGGCTCATCGCTGTCCTCCTGCAGGCTTTGGCAAAAGGGGTGCCGGAGCGTGAGAGCAAAGGAGCCTGGAGACCAGCGGGGCTGCAGGAGTGGCCCCAGCTCTCATGGCTGGTGGGGAAGCCTCCCCCTGCCCTTCTGCACGGCACCTTTGGGTGCTGAGCCGAGAAGGTCCTGCTCATCTTGTGGGGCAGGACTCTGCAGGATTGCTCAAGCAAGCATGCTGAGCTGTCCTTGGTGGGTCGGTCCCACCAGGTGGGGGCTTAGGGCCATGGGACTGTCACTTCTCCGGCTTGTGAAGAGTGCCACCAGGTCTGCGGTGTGGCCGTCGGTGTGTGGGGCTCTGGCAGGAACATTGGCTGCAAAGGAGGTTGCACGTCCTCAAGTCTCCTCCCGCCTTCCAAAAACGGTTGTGGTGGGCATGCTTCCTGCTGCTCCCTGTGGAGGGGAGGCGTTGGGTGCAGGCAGGAGATGTGTACCCAAGAGCTGCCTCTGCAGGCCAGCGTCGCTGGAGCTGGTGGGTGCTTTCCAGCTTGTTTAGCACCGTCTCTGGTGGGACTCCATCCTTGGCCCAAGGGTTCTTGCAGTGCCAGGACTTGGGTAGCAGGAGTCCTCATGGAAAGTTCAATATTCAGGATCTCTGGCTTTTTGCAAGGGTTGGCGGAGCCCTAACTATTCTTTTTTGTTTTCCCCTTGTCGTTCACAGTACAGTGCCGTGGACAGCAACCCCCTCTCTCTGTACGTCATGCATCCCTTCTGGAACACCATAGTGAAGGTGAGCCCTTGTCCTGCCCTCAACGGGATAGCAAAACTCCAGTCACCATGGAGTCTCCTCTGTAGAACTGTCAGCTGAAAAGCCCTGCCTCGTTTGTGGTGCAACTAATGACAACGGGTGCTGCCTTCCAGCCTGCAGCCTGCCCCGAGCTCATTGCATCGCAGCCTAAAGCTTCCTGCTGCCCATGCCAGATGCGACTAAGCAGTGTCATCTAACACCCAGACGATTGTAACCAGGTCTCTGCCATGGCTGGGAGCAGCACGTGGTTCTTATTACATGTTTTAATGAGCTCATGTGTTCTTTTGCTGCTTTCCCATAGATCTTCCCTACCTGGCTGGCCCCAAATTTGATAACGTTTTCTGGCTTCCTGCTGCTTGTCTTCAACTTCTTCCTCATGGCATACTTCGACCCTGACTTTTATGCTTCTGGTAAGGCTACCTGTTCCTGTTTGGATGTGGAGTGGTGAAATCTGTCACCTCCTCTGCCGTGACTTCCGGTGCTCGTTGGTAAGGCCCCTTAGTCTGGGCCTTCCCAGAGGCAGATGGCCATGCCAGAGGAGGGATGGAGTTGAGGGGTTGAACTCGCACGGCTTTGTGACGAGGGCTTGTCCGAATATGACACCTTCCCTCCAGCTGCTGGATGGATGTGAGCCTGGCTAGCAGCGTGCGGGCAAGGGAGAAGAAAAGAGCTGAAATCTTGAGTAGGAATTGGCTCTGCCTACGCAGCACACAAGAACCCAGTGCCCTCATTGTAAAAGCAATCTAAAATCTAGGGTTACGTGGGAAACTCTGCCTCCCTGAAGTCAGCAGGTAGAGCCTTGTTCTTTGCATCCCAGCTAATTGCCCTCTTGCAAAAACATGGCAGCGCCAAGTCCAAGACTAACAAAGGCAAAATCTTCTTTCTCTGTTTCACCGTTCTGCATAAGGCAAGGCCTGCAGAGCTATAAACTTTTTAACGGTACCCATAGAATGGTTTGGGTGGGAAGGGAGGTCATCCAGCCCAACCCCTGCCATCAGCAGGGACATCTCCAACCAGAGCCGGTTGCTCCCAGCCCCGTCCAACCTGACCTGGAATGTTCCCAGGCATGGGGCAGCCACCACCGCTCTGGGCACCCTGGGTCA